GATCGGAATTGATTTGCATGGCCCTTTCCCGCCGTCAACGTCAGGAAAACGCTGGATAATCGTCGCCACAGATTATCTCGCACGGTACGCCGAGACGAAAGCCCTTCCATCAGGTACGGCTGTTGAAGTCGCCAATTTTTTCATCGAGTCCATTGTCCCCCGGCACGGCGCCCCTGAAGTCCTTATTACAGACCGTAAATCTTCGTTCATGACCCAGCTGACGCAAGAGATCCTTCGTCTCCGATCACCGTCGGCACCGATCATCCTTCGGCACCGATCACCGTCCAACCACTGCGTGCCATTCGCAGATAAATGGACTAACAGAACAGCTAAACAAAACTATCGCCGACGTGATCGCCATGTATGTCGACGTAGAGCACAAGACATGGGAAGAGGTGTTACCCTACGTCACGTTTGATTACAACACGGCGGTGCAAGAGACCACAGGAGTAACCCTGTTTCAGCTGGTGCATGGCAGAAAAGTAACGACCATGCTCGACGCGATGCTACCCTACGACCCAGCATGACGGTGGAATCCCCGACGCCCAGGTGGTGCTCAACGAGCCGAACAAGTTCGTCAGCTCGCCCGAATCCGATCTCAAGATCAACAACGTGTCGACGCTACCCAATACAACGTTCGCCGGATCGACGTTCGCTTCAAACCCGGAAACTGTGTGTGGGTTTGGACCCCAATACGACAACGCAGTCTAAGCGAAAAACTCCTAAAGCGCCACTTCGGACCCTACAAAGTAGTTCGTCGACTTGGGGATCTGAACTACGAGGTGATGCCCGACAGAACACGGACCTTATCACGCCGTCCCCCACGACCTTGGTCGTTCACGTCGTGCGCCTCAAGCCGTACTACGCGCGATAAGACTGTGAACTGTGATCTTGTGCAACGCTTGAGAGGATTGTGTTCTGCCAGCCTCCGTATTTTTCTTTTTTTTTTGTTTGTCTTGCTCTGTTTAGTTGCCTTTCCCGTGGCATCGAGACGATGCCTTTTTAAAGGGGGGAGTAATGCCACGCGCGTCGGCGAGCGACCGCGTGTGTGGCCGAGTGGTTACCGCGCTTGACTGTCGCGTGGAAAGTCTAGGTTCGGTTCCAGTCGGTGGAATGTTCTTTTATTTATTCTTTCAACATTGCGTTCTCGTGAATTCGAGAACATTCTCAACTGTTCGAGTTCTGAATGTTCTAATCGCCGAACTTTCTAGGCCGACTGTTCCAGAAGCCAACGCGCGTACATAATTGGGGCTCCACGTGGCGCTTTGCAGTCAGTCTCGCCTTAGCGTTCGATCCTGCTGTTTCGCCGCCATCGACGCCTGCGACGCTATCCTTTTTCTGTTCTGCTTTCGGGCACAAGTTCGCTACATTAAACGTTTGTTTCTTCCTCTTTATTTATTGTTATTTTGGTCACCACCCGTGAGAATATTGGCACTGACGGATAGATTGATATCGAGCGCTAACACTTCGATTGGGTGTGGGCAAGTTCCTATGAAGCCAGCAAGCTGTCCTGAAGGAGAGAAGTAAAAAGTAGTTCGCTCTTTTTTTTTTTATCAATCAGATAGTGCAACACGACAAGGAAAAGTAGATGAGGGAGACGAGACAGAGCTGAGAGCTGTACGAGGCGCAAGGCATCGCGACCCGTGGTAATGCCTGCATCGTGGCTTTAGCACAAGAAGAACTTTACTGCCTCAGTCTTCTTCCCTTGAAGATACTCAATCCTTTTTAATCTTTAGTCAATTCTTTTATAAATCATTTTCATTCTTCGTTCTTTTTCTTTCATAGTTACGGTCGGAGAGTTTTACGACTTCTTCGTCGAAATTATTTGTTTTTTTGTGACATTAGGTAAAGCTATGTAACTCTATAGATTTTCTTTTATAATAATGTAAAATAAACTACCGCAGGTGTAGCTCACGTTTGGTCACCTACTTTTTTTTCTTTTTAAATAGCAGTCTTCAATTTGTTTTTTTATCTTTCTCTTCCTGTATCATTAAACGTCAGTTGATTGTAGCGCTCTGTCCTGTCTCGCTCTTCTACTTTTTCTTGTCGTGTTGCGCTATCCGATTCGTAATATGTATACCAACTAGCCGACCAAATGATCTTGATGCTATTATTTTTATTTCGACTTGTGCTGCCTTCTATTGTGCTTTAGCAGCGCGTCCTCGTTCGAACCTCACGGGGCGCCCAATTGTTATCAAAGGAAGGAAGCTCGTGCTAGAGGCGGGAAACTGGAAGACCTCTCCGTCGTCTTTATCCCCACCGCGACCATAAAGGCTTTGAATTGCTCTATTTGTCTCAATGTCCTCATATAATATTTTATCTCGGCTTCCTCGTTAAAAGCATGTTCATGTTTTCGCGAATTAATAACCGGATGCTCAGCAAAAGCAATGACAAAGAAAATCACGAATCTCTATTGTTGACTTGTTGAAAAATTGTTGAAAAAAATAAAAAAAATACGAGGGTAGCGGAAAGTTAATATCGCCACCAAACCTACAGAGCTTGCCAAGACGCTGCTGTAAACTTTAGCTCTAAAGCATACCTGCTTTTATTTTTCTCCGTCTTTTGTCAGAAGAGCATTAAGAAACTCCGGAAGCGGTATCACTTCGACGATTGAAAGACTGCGCGATTCCGTGCTTTTCTTCATGTCCGTTGTTCTGGTACATAGATTTTGTGGTATTCTAGGACATGCAGAAAAAAGGCAAACTCTAGTCCTGTCAACCTCCATCTCAAAGTTTCTTGTGGGCTCAACGAAGACATGTTTCCCACAAAAGTGTTTTGTAACTTGAGCTTGTTGGCGTAATATCTCTCAATTGAAGGCACATTTCCAAAAGCATGGCCGACATGAGGCTTCGGGTTCATTAAGGTCGCCTCTAAGCTCAGAGCATCGCTAGTCAAACGTCGTGCCCCTAACTCTGTCAGTAAAGATATTTGAGTAGAATTATCGATAAAGCTCAATATAAAAATAACAAATTATAAAAGTTGCATTTAGTGAACATCAATGTGTGATCCAAGCTAGGACTCAAAACATGTTGCAGTTCAAAAATGTCGGTTTGTACATTAAGTGGCACCTTCGATTTGCACCCACAAAAATATCACACCATTAACAAAAATGAACTCGCGGTTCCCAAGTATTTAATAGTCTGGCGGGGGGGACGCGAAAGAAAAAGTTGAAAAGGTCATTAAAACATTGATTTCATCAGAAGCCCTCGGCATTCTGGTCATCAAGTTGTTTAGCTTTCTTTTTGTCCGTACATCTACATTAAACGCATTTCAAGTTCTAAATAATGACCCATTTTTGTGTTAAAATCCAGATGAAATACATTTACTTGCCCAACATTAACCGAGATAGAGAACAACACAAATATATTTTCACGACCGGTTGGCACGCACGTCATAATCGAAACGCTTTTGGTCTTCGAAGTTTCTCCTTTCATCATTGGCATCTAAGATCAATACTTTTCAGGTCTATGAAGACAAGCAAGTGAGACAGGTGGCCTCCCCCTCCCTTAAACAACGGCACACGTAGCAAAATTGAAAGTTCTACAGGTATAACCGGATTTGATTGCTTGTTTTGGAAAGCGCCGATGTTTTTGTGCAAACTGTTCCCTTGGCGGTCGTGTTATGTGAAAGAGTGGTACAGCTCTTTCCAGAATTCACGGGCTTCTGACATGTTTTTGCCTCCCCACATTCCGACTTCAATGGCATGCATTAAATATATTGACTTTAATAGCACATTCCTGTAGGAGATTGTTTCTTTTTTTACATCATTTGCCCTTAATTGCTTTTCTTGCGTATCTCAGCTAGCAAAAAATTGTGCATGGCATAGTAATTTCGTTGTAACATTTTTTTTTTTTTTGCTAAGCCTGCAATTGGTGACTTTAACAACCTTGGAAGGCTTGCTGGCGAGACAAAATAGGGGACCAAACGAGATCGGTTTCACCGTTTACCACGCGAAACGCGTTACATTCCTTCTGCTGCAGCGTAAAAAAATATCGATTTCAAAGCAAAGTGCTTTTGAAGGGCAAACACCTTCTGGTCAGTGCGCACGAGACTTCGGAAGCGCGTCCTTGGCGGATCCACCAACTGTGAGAGGCCAAGATACTGATTAATACCAAAACAAATTACGTCAAGCTCCTACGCATGGCTGTGGAAACGAAAAGGGGTGGAATTCATCGACAATTATCTCGAAGCACGATGGCACTTCTAAAATGCTTTAAATTGGTTTAGCCTATATACATGACTAGCGTCAATACTCCAATTACAATGTGACCCATCTAACTATTAAATAAAAGTTCATGAACTAATTTAAAAAAAATTATTTTAATTACCGTGACGATTAGCTCCGTATATTGTCTCTCTGCCGTAGACTCACTTACAGAGACTGCATTAGATTTCAGGGATTGTCTTAGAAAAATATGTTCGGGCTGAAAAAAGTCCGTGGACACCTAAGCGCTTCTTATGAGTTGTGAATGCGAAGCATGAATGCCGTTCTCCCGCTCCCTTAGTTCGTGCGCAACATAGTGGCGAGGACGGCAACGTTTTACCGGCCGACGGCCGAGCGGGCGCTCTCGTGAAGTGGCCGCACCACGTTGAGCTCGGCCGTGATGCCTCTCCGAAGTTTGCCCGGGCGGGCTCTGCCAGCTCTGCGGCCTCCGCTCCCTCTTACCGGCGGCCGGGCCGCTACGTGCGCTGCGCCGCCACGGAGAGCGCTTCTCTGGTGGCTTTTGTTTGGACTTAGCCGCACGAGCGCTAATGGGAGCCTCGTTCCTTGATGACGCCAGCCAATGGGAGCATAATCCATCAGAAATCGGCTTCACTTGGGAAAGGGGATTTTAGGTTCCCTTTGACCAACGTTTGGCGTGGTTTCAAAGCTGATTACCTCGGTTCGCTCTATGAGACAGCTAGTGCTTTCGTATTAAAAGAAAAACACTGTTGTGATGGACGCGGTATCTTGAATGAGCGCATTCTGCTGATGGACCACGCCAGAAGGCGCTACTTACCTCCCGTGGTGGGCCCGGAGTAGAGGAAAGTGTGCGTGTGTCCACCCACCACGAGGCTGACTTCCGGCACAGCCTCAGCAATCTCCTTGTCCTTGGGCAGACCGGAGTGTCCCATAGCGATGATGACCTTGACCCCTTGGGCGCGGAGCTTTTTGGCCTCCCTCCGGACGCACTCCACTTCGTCCGTGAAGCGAACCTTGCCTGGAGTGACACGTGCAGAAGACATTTCAATTCAATTCAATTCAATGTTTATTTATCATTTTTTACAATGGCGGGGGCTGAGAAAAATGCTGCATGGACAGCTTGACGAGTTTCCAGCGCCACAAAAGTTTCAGCAGCAGCGGCAATGCGAGTTCACACACAGGGTATACATATTAAAAGTAAAAAGATAAAAAGTTATACAATTTTAGCGAATGCAGAGAACAGTGGATTTAAAAACCAAAAAAACAAGCAACAAAGCAAGTACAATACAAATGAAACTCAGGTGTAACCATATCACCCGCAACACAAAAAATAAGACCGCAATTCTTTGGGTGAAAGAGTAGTTATGTCTATGTGCTTTAGGGTTAGCAGATTTAGCGACTTCGGGAGAGTTATTTTGATTCTCTGAAAACCATAGTTAGAGCGGGAATTTTTTTAAAAAATAGAAGGGTTCAGAACAACGAATTCTGAACCCTTTTATTTTTACTGCATTCTATTTTATATTTCATGCAGAACTTAAAGTTGTAGAGTGTGAAGATTTTGATGACATTCAGATTGCGAAAAAGGGGTTCTGTGTGAAAGTCATAGCCGACATTGCAAATTATTCTTAGAGCTTTTTTTTAATTAAGGATTTTACTAATTTCATTAGTAAAATCCTTAATATGAGTTTTATAATCTTCACAGCGATGTAAGAAAACTATTAGGTTTCCTATCTCATTAAATGTATCTCACATCCTATGCATGAAAATGGCTGCTTAATCTGTGTGCCTTATACAATCGCTTCCTCCATTCTTTACCAAACCAGCGTGCTTTGCCAGAATGACTGCTCGAGTCTAGGGTTCACACTACACTACTTCTTACTTCCTGATTTTTTCATTATGCCGGTAAACTGATAATACACATTTTGTTGAGACGTATAGCCTACCCCCCTACTACAGACCTAGTATGCGACTAATCGGAGGGTTTTATGCTCATCACCGCAACCGTGACATAGGAAAACGGGCTGTAGCGTCTCGCGCAAAGCAAATGTGTGACTGGGCAAAGTTCCAAGATACGTTGTCGTGTGTTTGCTTCTTAAATTCTAGCATTTACAAATATTCCGCAGTGGCGATGCAGTATGCAAAGCATTAAACTACAAGAATAATAAGCAAACGGTTTATTTTATGATAAGGAAAGAGGGACATTGAAGACAGACAAGACAGACAAGCCTGTCTCTTCTGTTTGTCTTCAATGTCCTTGTTTTCTTATCGCATATTAGAAACCAGCGCACTTAACCATCTATAAACGGTTTATGTTAAGACCTACCCACCGAACCTGTTAAACCGTTAATTCTACGTTTATGTTCACTGCTACTTCAGAACAGAGACTCCTCAAGGGAGAGCAGCGCACGGATCCGGCTATCAACCATCAGTTAGGGCCTTGAGCAGAGAAATCCTCGAGACTGGACACGCACTGCTACCCTTCCAAAAGTCACTGAACTTGTGCTACACCCTGCACTCTGGTTGCGATGGGAGTTACGCGCTCTAATGACCGCTTCAACGGGCTTATAGCTTACACCGCTCTGAGAGACATCTTTCGTTAGTAATACTTCACAGCGTTGAGCGATACAAAAAAAGGCGGCTGTAGTTGGCTATTTACGAGAAGGCTACCTTAATTGCTGGCCATCTTTAGTAAGAGTTTTTTTATGTTTTCGTCGGTGGCAATAGTGCAAATGGTATACACTGAAAGCTTTTATCGTAAACAGATTTAAATTTCCCGCGCTCAATTGAGAAATTGTGACCCTGCGATCGGAGGTACTACGAAATACCCTTGCCATGACTTCACAAGTCAAAAGTACGAAACAGGGCTGGCAAAACATCTTCCTATATATTCTGTGGCTTACTGAAGTGTTGACTGTGAGTTGAATGTGACTCTGTGCAGAAAATTTGAACTAAACGAAAATCACTGTACACCGGCAGTCAGCACGACCATAATAATCCTATTACGGTATTTTATAAAAGTAGCTTTAGTTTTTTTTGAAAATTAGTAACGCAAACGGTTCAGATTTTGACTATCCTGTAGAACTAATTTCATTCATGCTGAACGGAAAAAGTTACTCGACCAATAAAGGTAAACGCCAAATATTTTACAGCGCTTCTCCTGTCCTGTCCTACATTGTCCTTTCTCTTTTGCACTAATATTTTAAGGATGTTCAACAAACTACGCCATCAATTTATTTTGTTTCGAAATATTTCCACTGCTCCTGCCCCTAAAACGCAGTAAAATTAATTTCACAGTTCATTTTAACACGCGCATCTACTCGCCCGTTCACGTAAAATATATGACAAAATTATAGCATTAATTTAATTTGAGGGTGAACCAAGAGTCATCATCACAACGGATAGTTACAACAGAAAATCTCAAGAGCTTATTTTACAACACCTCTTCCTTTGGGGAAGATCGTATACAGGCTTTTCCAACTTCTTAGAAAAACTTGCCTTTGCCATCTCAGTGCTGGGCACATATAAATATAGAATCATATTCCGTTGATCACTCTTAGAGCGCCCTTAAAAAATGGCAACTGCACCCACAACAAAACAAATTGCAACAAAACAAAAAAAAAACACCGCCAACTTCTCCTGCAATCATCACAATTTCACCTCCGTCGACTGAAAGGCGGCGACGTGGCTTTGCCTCCTGTGTTCCTTGAAAGCGTCTATTGTTTCCAGGCACAAAGCAGGTCTCAAGGAGCCTTCTGCAGGGTGCCCATATGTCCCGGAGTTAAAGTGCAAAAAGTTGTGCACAGCCCTAAATTAGTTTGAGGCGTCCATGTCATGTTTCCCTCGCCTCTGTCCTGTGTTTTTCGGCGCTTTCTTTATTTTCGTTTGCAATGGACCAACTGGCCCAAATCTCCATTTTAATGAGAAGTTAGTAAGAAACGACTATGGGAACCTTCAATGACGGCTGTGGCATGACATTTTAGAAACCATTGGAAAAACGCTATGAAAAAATGTTGTATTCTGCGACAGTTTGAAAAAGTAAGATGAAAACACTAAAAAACAAAAGGAGCGAACTGTGAGTTTGAGAAATAAAAGACACTAAAAAGGACCGCTGAAGTCTTTGATTTTTAGATATTATAACGTATTTATTGCGGTATGTAGGGAACGCATTAAGATAAGATTAATATACAATCCGTTCGTAATACACCATGGGTAAAATGACGTGCAAACTTGAGCGATTTAGCAATACGCGCCTTTTATTGTTCTGCGCTGGCCAGAAACCATCGGTTTTAACAATGAACTGACTTTCAAAAGTTCACAAACTAAATCTGGCATCGCAATAGCCGACATACGCGATCAGTATAAAAAAGTAATTTGTGGCCAATAAACTAATTACAACATAACGCCAGATAGCTTACCCGACTTTAGACTTCAATGATCTTATTTGAACTTGACCGATGTCCTTCAAAAGCGGATGCCAATAAGGCGTGTAAAATGTTTTAGACTAAGTTTTGACGACTTTATGCAAGCTGCTTTCCCTCTACATTAATAGGCGCCTCTGCAAAAGCTTGTAAACAATGGATCACGAAATAATTACTGAAAACATATGCACAAAAAGTAGGTTATACAAGATATTTGTAAAACCAAGAGATTAAAAAGTTTGCCGTCCTTAAACGTTACCAAAACCAACAAAACAAAACACTTCAAAACGCTTCATGAAAATATTTCTGCAATTTTTATCTGGTTTGTGGTCAAATATCCGATGCTCTAGGAAGAAAACTAGTCTCTTTTAAACCGCATATTGTCTCCAGAACACCTAGAAAAAATAAGATAGAATTGTCAGGCAGTTACAGATAAAAAATTAGCCATCACGTTAAAAACTCATTAAAAATCTTAAACGTTGCGATTCCGGTGACATACAGATATGAAACCCGGGAAATAGGTTATTGACCTTTGTTGCCACTCGCTCGACGCATATCTTCAACCACTGCTTGCTAAATGTTGCGTTTCCCAAACAAACGCAACTGGCAAAAGTAATAGTTATATACGAAAGGTAATAAAATGACATTGGCAACTACATATCTGTTGCAATCTTGCCAGTGGCTTGCTAATGGCTTTGAAAAAATACTTCTTCGAATGAAATCATTCTCGAATCGTCATAACTTAAATTCGTCTGAAATATAGGATTTCGTAATAAAAAAATCCACTGAATGTGCTCTTCTTGCGCAAGAAAAAAAATATTCGAAGACATTCTGAAAAAAAGCGAATTACAGTGTAGCGCAAAGACAACACAGGAAGGAGACAGAGATAGGAAAGAACGCTACTCACAACGAGGTATTTACTGCACATACAGTAAATACCTAATTGTGAGTAGCGTTCTTTCCTATTTCTGTCCCCTTCCGGTGTTGTCTTTGCGCTACATTGATATTATGCAAAACCAGCTAGCCTAACAGCTCATTTTGATACAAAAAGGCTAACCCTTGGTTTATTCATGATTTTACAAAAAGCCTTTGACTATCTTGACCTTAATTTGCTGATTAAAAAATAGATACGTATAGATGTCGTGGTCAGTGGTCACTGCTTATTAGTCTGTCCTTGTCTTTTCCTAGTAAATATGTTCATATAAACGGTCATAGATTTGTAATAAAAGCAATTGAATCAGACGTTCTCTAAGGGAGTATTAGGAGCCTTTTCTATTAAATCTTTATATAAACGACATCGTCCACGTAAGCAAATAAACGAAGCTGGTTATTTCTGCCGACCATACCAGGTTACTGTTCACTGATTATAGCGCCTCTGAACTCATAAATAATGCTACACTAGAGACATTAAACAAACGAACAAGTGCTTTAAAAACAAATGTGAATATAAAACTAAGGCAGTTCTTTTTCGGTTGGAGAATATAGAATATGTTACTATAAGCAATGCCATTCTTTTGAATTATACTACAATTGAATAAGGTGTATTTTTTCACAGAACATATTATGGAATGGTCATATTAATTACATTACATACAAATTATCCAGCATCCTTGGCCAGATATATCTCCGCAACCATATTTTGCCTCTTAGAACAAAGTTGTTGTTATATAACTCATTATTTCATTCAAATATAAACAATTGCGATTTAATATGTGGTACGACTACTCAGTACATTTGAAAAAGTATACCCACTGCAAAAGAAAGTACGGAGACGTATGTTCATTGTTTTAGTAGACTATCCAATTTATATCCTTTTGAGTGAACTCGGTGTAGATATCGCCTGTGCTTAATATATAAGAGAGAATAAGTGAATGGCACATGCAAACAAGTCAATTTGAAGTCTTCGCTAATCTCACAATAATCTAACAAAAGTACACTTATATCCAACACGTGCTACAGAACCCCCTGGCCCTGTAGCTTCTTTTATAACAAATCACGTTCATCAAACTTTAGCGTACACCCTGCCAACGATTCCTAATAAACTTAGTGCACAACATATAGAACTCCACACACTGTCGGTAAGCGGCTCGAATTGATATTATGTAATTGAATTGTATTCTTTTTTACGGCTACTCCTCGTCCGTTTGCTTTCTTTTCCCTTTGCCTCCTATATTACTAGTAAGTTTACAGTGTATGTTGGTGCTTCCCTGTATTGTGGCTTTTTCGCAAATTTTATTTTAAGATAGTGTAAGTGTTTTTTGTATAGAGTACTATCTTACATTATTTATTTTTAGTTATATATTGACATCTCAGTTTTATGAGACTGCTGCTGTGTCTTCGGACTTGGGGCTAGTCAAGCTGTTTTAATGGCTTTTTCCCCAATCTCCGCCAAAAAGGTATTGTTTTTATTGAAGAAAGGGAATGATAATAGTATTATTATTAGTATTAGTATTATTAGTAGTAGTAGTCGTAGTAGTTGTAGTAGTAGTAGTATTAGTATTATAAACTTTACGCCGATACACTTGTCCAGTCAAGCGCTGAATTTCATTTATTGCCATCTCTTTAACGCCAGCAAATTCAATGTGCATTCATAACGAATTAAAAATCGATTCTAACTCTAGTCTAGATCAGGGTTCTTCGAATTCAGCCCGCGGAGGTCTTGTGACCGGCCCGTGGCTGGCCGCGGTCCTTCCAATGAAGTTCGGCCCGCAGCCCACTCCCAGGAAGCCCACTGCTACCAACTCAAAAATTATCGCGCGAAAAAAAAAAACGCGACCGTATTGCGCATTAAGCGTGTAAACAAAGATACAAAAACAAAACAGAAGAAAAAAGTGCCATCGTAACGCGTGTTGTCTTCTATTATGCATTGGAGATTGCCATCACCAGCATCGCTATTCTTAGTCCCCTGTTTTATGTCTGGGTAATTACGCATGCTAAAACAAAGAAAGGTATATTGCGCTTAGTGTCCTGCGTTGTATCTATTGCATATTGTCAGCATTAGTCCTATTACTATCTCTTGTCTTCTGCCCTGTGCGAAAATGTCCAAGTTTATAGGCGCTTTGAGTTATGTCTGGTGTCTCTTCTGGGTACCAATTATCGAGTAATATTATATTTAGCTAAATATTGATTTTAAGAATAAAGTAGTATTCATACACCTGGGATTTTTTCATATATTCTATAACTTAGATTTTCAATTTATATAGCTATGACTCTTTTTTTCTTTCTCATTTATATATTTTTAAACCCTCGATGCAGCAACAGATCTCTGATCCGAACCCTTTAGCCCTTGGAGAACAATGGTCTAGAGTTTTCAACAATATAACCATGTTCAAAGCGATTCCGCGTAATCTCGTGCGTTTAAAATAACCTATTTTCAAATCACTCGCTAAATCCTTTCGCTCGAATGGAATTTTTCTCCGCGGCACGCGCATGTTTAAACCAATCAGTTGCCGTCGTCCAAACCCTAAGAACTGTAATTCGAATATCTATACTCGAGCAAAGAATTGCGTAAATGCGCAGCCTGCAGCGGAGTCCCTTCGATAACCCTCGGCCGCTGGCGCCCCCAAAGTGCGGCGGGAGGCAACGAGGTCGTGCTGGAGGCGGAACTTGTACGGAACTTCTATCGACATCCCCTATGGCTGGTTTGTAAGCTATGACACCGAGACAACTCAGCCTTTGAATTTCACGAAGTTGAGCCTCGTGCAAGAACATGAGGTTTCGCCGCCCAGAAACAATACTGACATAGTTCAAAACCGCTATTCCTTTTCGCCATTTTATTGCAATATACCGTTGTATTATAATCGTTTTAGTGTTTACGAGAGCGTCGTCAACGTAGCCGACTTTTAAAAATTATATGGCAAAGTGATACACTCTTCATTTTACTAAATAATTCACTGGGCTTCCAAGAACGGTTAGCACGCAGTCACAGTTCGCCAATCATGAAGCCATATCACACCAAGACGTACACGGTGGTGCAGTAGTGGAGGTTAGGTTGCGTGTTATAAGACTCCCATAATTTTCGTTGATTAAACTTTGACAATATTAATAGGAAAATATCCGACAGGGAAACTGGACGATCGGCTTCTTCACTTGCGTGCGCCTATTACATGAAGCAACCTTAGCTAAGTTATCACATATCCAAACGATTTCTAAATTTTATCCGGATATGATTTATATCTTTACAGCAATACTGCTACGCAAGCCATAGTGAACAGTAGAACAATGCTCTTTGGGGTAGGTTGGGGAGTGCTTTTATGGCGATGCAAAAATTTCACGACAAAACGAGGCTGCAAACAGCCAGAGGTGCTTGTGCTTTCTCCCATCTTCTCCTATGCCCCATCTCCACGTTGTTTCTTTTCCTTACGGACAAATATATGATATAGCGTAGCCAATCCTCCATCTGCATTGCCAACGAAGCTCAGTAAAACGTACGTGCGATATCACTTTTTAACGCTGTCAATGATTTTAATTTTAGCGCTTCTCGGAGAAAATTACTTAATAGACTCGCTAACCCTACAATAAATTGGGCTTTGGTATTCATGCAATATTGATGTCAGAATAGCAAAAAATATGAATTTTGCTTTTAACTTTCTTTATCCCTCTTATTGCTAGTTGGAGGCCCGGAGTGTGAACTGGACGCCGTGCCCCCCTCGTCCAGTCGGTGGCTACTGAATGGCTCGCTCCAATGGTGCGCCGCCATCCGGGGGGTGCGCACGGCAGGCGCCTACAGCATTGGCGCATTCGTCGCTACTTGGAAGACAGACACGTCAAGGAGCTTAGCCAATGCAGCCTAGAAGACAAGGCCTGAGCATGACGTCATTATTAGGTGAGCCCCGAGCGGAAAACACGCCAAAGCTGGATGAGAGTAGCCGCAAAGCGACAGACGCGTCTTTCGCGTCGCCGCGTGGGTCTCGCTCGTCGTGCGACGCTGCAATGCGAGCTGTGGGGAACTTTGACGTGAGTTCACTATTGATGACATTTGGGGGAGGCCTTGTCTTCTATGCCCTTAGCCCCGATTAGCCACGAAGGACTCACCCGGTCGCGAGAGGAAGACCGTATTGGGCGTGACGTATCCGATGAGCCCCACTTCGTGGCCCCCTTGCGTCACGGTCATGGAGGGCTTGAGCGGCATGTCCCTGAGCAGCGGCTCTCCGGAGAAGTCCACATTGCAGCCCAGGATGGGCACCGTGCTGTTGCGCACCAGGTCCGCCATCCCCTCGGCGCCCCTGTCAAACTCGTGGTTGCCCAGCGTCTGCATGCCCCCAGAGAGTGGTATTGGAGTCTCGCTCCCTCTTGGGAATCAAGGACGGTGGCTCAGCGAGGCCAAGAACTCAAGCGATGGTCACACTGCCAATGCATCATCTAGACGTTGTATGCAGGTCCCATTGGTCGTACTGTCTGCAGACATGTTCGAAGCAAGCACAATGGTGCTTGAAGCCTGTCCGCAGACCATTGTGTCGTCGTGTCTTCAGCGAACACCCTGTCTTTTGTATCATGTATGGGCAGTGTGACAGCGTCACAATAAAGGGTGTACCAACAAAAAGTTGGTGCGCAAATGAGCATTAAGATCTCAGCGAAAAAATTGTCAAATGTGCGGCCGAGCTGGTGTATATTGATCATGATGTTTAAGCCCTGACGCTGGGAAGGAACATGAAGATAAATTGGATAGGAACAGAACAAAGATGGCAGACACCGTCTGTGATCTTTTTCCTGTATCTTTCTCATGTATCTTAATGTTCCTTCCCAGTCTCAGTGTTTAAACGTCATGATTAAGGACTGATCTCATAAAAGTATTGTAAGTGGGGATGAAGTTAAAGTACCTACTATGAAATGAGATGGCGCTTCGCACAGACGCCGCATTACAAGACCACTGAGAACCAGTATATAGATTCATTTATTATTCCGTGCTCTTCAAAAGCGCGTGATATAACTTCAAGAACGTTTCATCGCGGATAAAAATTATAGCGTGCGAATAAGTCTATCAAAAATGCACCCTCTTCCGCCAACCTAAGCTCCTTCCCGTTTTTTTTTTTTTTTTTTTTGATGGCTTATTAGGATAAGTTAACTCCTTTTTTTTCATTACTTTCAGCATGGCGATTTTCAGCGACTCTGCTGAGAGTGTTTAAAAAGATGAGGTCCAATGGGAAGTCCGCGACATTAAGCACTTGTATTTTTTTTTTTTTTTAAGGGGGCGGATAGTCTTTCGGATCTTGAGAGAGCAATAAACCTTTCGATAAATTTTCAAATCACCAAAGAGAATGGTAGGAACGCACGCGTGGTCGCTCCCCTGTGTAAGAGTAAATAAATAAGTAAATAACCAAAATAAGGCGTTGACGAACGCACGTGTTAAGTGCCATTCACTTGGAATGGAAAGCGTGCTGGTAAGGGTAATATAAATAATGGAAAGAACATAAAACACAGGGACGTATAAGACGTACGTCCTTGTGTTTTATGTTCTTATAACTTATATTAAGTGCCATTTATTTTAGATTTCTGCTTTCTAACACCTCCGCTGCACGCATATTTTCTCATTTATTACTCACAATTCTTTTATCATAAGAGAGAATTAAGTCTGACAATGCTATAAGTGGCCATTCGCAGAAGAAAGCGTGCATATTTGATATCAAGAATACTGCGAAATCCGCCGTCTAGTTCAGAACCGGAAGTGGTTGGGGGCTATTTGCGCGCCACCACGTTTCAACTCACGCGAGAAAGAGCGGACATTGTTGAGCGATCAAGAAGCTTGAGGTACCCCACACGTCGCTCGCCAAAATGAACAATACGTGGTCTTCCGCTTTACCTCTTTAAAAACTTTAGATCCGCTAAACAACAGAGTGCTAAAAAACACAACGGAAACTGAAGAGTGACCGTCATCTGCACGAGGAGAAAGGCACGTGGCAAGCGCAGAGATAAAAACGTGCGCGATTGCCCTTTTGGCAGGCGAGTGTGCCCTCGATTTTCCTGATGAATGAGATACGAAGAGAGAAAGTTAAACGGTGCTTTCTTTTTCATGCCATCCAAAAAGGCAAACGGTGCACCATTTCGTCGTCTGCGTCATTGATTAGGACGGGTGTTTCAAAACTGACTTTTTTTAATTTTTTCGTTTTTCTGCGTATTTTCAAGCTCAAAATGTTTGGCATCATGCCTAGTGATCATTATCAGTCATTCGCAACAGTAAAAAATATAGATGTTGGGATTGACAGTGTCCCTTTAAGCCATTATAAATAGTATCATGTCATAGGGGTGACTACATCAGTGTTAAGACGTGCTGGAAGAAAATAGTGTTATCTAAATATTATTTCCGAAACTATGATAATTTCTCTTATTTGCTTTTAATTTAGTTAGTGATTACAGTCGGACAAACAATAAGTAGACTGGATGGGGCAGGCCATCGGGGGTGAAACAGCCGCACGGGGCGCTGCACTTGCCACCGCGAAGTAACAAAGAGAAGCTAGGCAAGGCTGTCTCATTTATGTTCGCACAGTTTCATGTTGCGAAGACTGATAGCAAAGAACTGATATATGACAGCAAATACCTAAGTACAGTAAATGTAATAAAAAGCTCTGAATTTGAACACGGTTCCAGGTTTGCATCTTCTATCGGAGCGCATGATTTGGGCAAGCCGCCCTGCCACCACGTGGACGAGGTCCGAAGCTACCGCCTCGATCCCTCGTAGGATGGAAGGAAGTATGGCGGACGTTCCGCATTCCACCGGCAGGAAGGTAGTCACCCTATTTACAGCACGACTAATTTGTTGAAAACCATTAAAATTCACGAAATCGAGTAGCTCCTGTTCATATCCAGTGCTTAAATCTGCACGCCCGGCAGCAGGACCACGAGCTCGAAGATGCGCTCCGAAAGAAAACCGAAACCTACAAACGCGTCCTAATTTAGCGTTTTCTTGGAACGCCGTAAAATGTTGCATGTGCCTTTTATACTTTTTAATGGATTGATTTAGTGATTTTTGAGGATAATCGGGTTTTTATTAAGATCCATATGAGTACCATCACTGCTTAAAGAGCTGATTAGTAAATTTCTGCTAATTATTTAACTAATTTGTCTTTTTGCAATTTTGCCGTCCGCCATGGCAGGCAGTTTGTTCCTTGAAAGTATTTCTTTTTTCTTTCTTTTTTCTTCTCCACCACCTTATTTTTAAGTATTTTTAAAGGTATTTGCTTAGAGGATTAGAGGTCAGGGTAAAGTCTACCTTTACCCTGACCTCTAATCTTATCTTCAAATTTTACGGAGGAACTGAGTAATCCAAATCATTGCGAAGGTTCCCCAACGAAAGAGTCGCGCGGAAGTCTCGACATGTGGAACAGCCATCAACGGCTCCTCTGTCTAGCGGACGCGATTATGCCATAAAACATGTTGCCGAGGCGTAAACTAGGTCATTCGCCATACAGGGATTGCGTAGAGCGAATGATAAGCTCAGACGGCTATCTGAGGGCTTCTTGTGTCTTGAGCGAAAAATTTTAGGGTCAGACCTGAGCTAAAGGTTTAGTTTCAGGCTTTAGCGTTACAATTTCTAGAGTAACGGCTTCTCCAAAGGAAGTAATTCGGTTACTTTCTTGCACTAAGTTTTCAAGCGGTGTGATCATATATTCTTTATCAATAGTAATAGAAATTTCCATCGGTTACTTTTCAGTGCCACCGTGTACAAGTGTGAGCACAGGGCACACAAACGAAGGTGACGAATCTTAAGTCTCTCTTCTGGTTTTAGTTTTATTTTGGGAGGCATCTTAAGTTTTTACCAGCGAGCCTAATTTTCTTCTTTGTTAAACAAGATTAGGATCCCCGAGATCATAAAGAGCACCGTGTGCAGCTCCATATCATTGCACACGCTTTTTTGTATACATAAATTCAAAGTCTCTGCTAGAGGTCAAACAACAGCGAACGTTTTCGAAGCACAAACACTAAAGATAGATCACGTAATAAATGGTACAATTGTACTTCACACTGGGCCTCATTTCCACCTATTTGCAAGTAACTTTTTGAAAATATTTTGTGTCATGACATTGTTGAGACATTTCCGGGAACGATTCCAGCTCCAGTTACTGTGTGTTCTGTAAAATAGTATATAGCTAAGTATCACATCAAAGGGGGAAATATTCCCGTGGGCGTTGCAGATATGCGAGGGCGAAGTTAGCGCAGTTATGGGCAAAGCGAGGGCACAGCAACTTAGGCTTCCGACGAAGTACCCCCGCGGGTCTCACTTCGGCAAAGCGTGGGCATGCCCAACTTGGGCTGCCCGCGCAAAGCCCACCTGGGTCCCAGCTCGGTTATAGGGGGCAGAGTTAGCACAGAGATGGGCTCCACTGGGGCATGCTCAACATGGGCTGCCCATGCAATGCCCCCATGGGTACCACATCGGCTATTTGGGGGCAGAGTTGGCACAAAAGTGGACTTCACGAGGGCACTGTTACGCCTTTGAAGCGCTCCTTTAGTCCGGCAACTTTGTGGGTAATCGTTTACCTCCAACAAATTATCTTCTGTTTCTGCTATATCGCATTAACTTACACATTCCAACCATAATCCCATGCAGGCCGCTGTACAAATGTATAACAATTTAACATTATCCATACCCTTACAAGGTGAGAAAATTAGAGCTAACGTAACCTTACCCCAAGGGTAGAACAGTTTTGTGTCCGCCCCGGCATCGTTCTCACTTTTTCTAACCCTGTCCTTCATTTTGCCGTCCTCAGCGAGGCCTCTCGCCTCCTGTTGTCGGGCAAGCTGTCAGTCATTCAAAATTCAAATCACTTGCACACGTGCACTGTAATTTTTTTTCTTCTGGTCCACTGTTGTCGTCGACGTTGCAACGTACGTCTTTTTATCACAGTACCATCCTATCTTGTTTCAAATGTTGTGTTCCTAGGATGCCTTTTGTTCTTCGCTTAAGGACGCGAATTTCAACTCTGCGTGACTATAGTGACCATAGAGATTGACTGGTTCACGAAGCTCAACCGCTTCATCGAACATGGAAAGAATTGCGTTCTTGTTGACAGGAACTTCTGTCTCGGTGTCTTGTAGTGTTGTCCTGAGTGTTAGTTATAGTGACACTGTGTTAGTTATAGTCGCAGAAAACCGAGTTTCTGGCTAGCTTTGCTGATAATGTGAGTTATGTGACATTCCCATTATAGACTGCTTGTTGGATGAAGCCTAATATATTTGTAGCTGGGGACTTTTTCTATGATGTTACGGGAAAGGTGATAGCAGAAGTTCACTGTACTTTTTTTTAGAGAAAGAACC